GTAAGAACCCCATTCATACACATATACATACATATCTATATAAATGAATAATCATTTTCATAATAAAATTCTTTTTAGAATTAAATTTGTTTCGAATTTACGCTCATAAATAAAGCCTATTCCCGAGTTCTAGAGAAACTCAAACAATTTAATGAATGAGGATGTTTTTCAAATGAACCCTGCAGTTGTTTATTTTCCATGAAAGACCAGTAAATGAAAAAGAAGTTAAAGACAATGCTTCTTTTGGCATATGCCCTCCATGTATCTATTAAACAATAAATGGTTTATGATTGCATACAAAAGGTATGCCTTAGAAGCTTTAACAAAAGTAATATAATATATTTTTAATTACTATTTAAATTTTAATTTTGTATTTAAAATTTAGATATTTCAAAAATTTAAAATAATGAAAGAGAAAAAAATGTGTCTTTAGTTAATCAAAAATTTTATTTTTTAAAAATTCACACATGTATATTATTTTCTATACACGAAGGATATAAAACACAACGGTTAACCGATAATATAAAATATTGTTGAGATGTACTATGAAATTATATAGGAACTATGGGATCAGCGGAGTTTGATACTATTATTATGGCACAAAGCTCTTTAAAATGACAACAATAAGAATTTTTATTACTTTAATCATATAGATGTAGCAAAATTGATGCTAACTCTTACCTTAACTAATTAATTGCTAACTCTTAATTAAAACACACGGAGGAGAGTTGAACTTTATCAAAATGAATAACAAATTGGATCAAAATATTTACTTTAGGATTTTAGCATCGAAACTGCTACTCACTAAATAATTAAGTAGCTTATCTTCGTTTACTTACTTACTTGAATGACCATAATAAACCGTTTTTGCATTTTGGACGAACATAACAATCATTTTCAAGCGCCTCTGTTACGTGCGAGCCCTCTCTAGTCTCGTACATAAAGTGTGGTTACTTCACTCTGAACTTGATCACTCCGCCGAAAACACGATCTACATCTACACTTTTTCCATCCAATTACGACTTCAAATACCTAAATGTTAATTCGATGAATTATACCAATGTTGTTATAAAAGATAGTACAGCTCATGGTTCGTTGGGATCGGTAGCAATCGCTAACTCATAGAAGATCATAAATTTGACGAAGAGTTTTTCCTTTACTCGCTCACTGATTTGAACTACTTATATTCGACTAGTTCTGAATTGAACTGTTTTACAAAAACGAACCGCTGTACTTACTTACTTACTTGATAATTTGGCCATAACAACCCGTTACCGAGTTTCGGCCTAACGTGGCTGTCTCCCCAGGTGCTTCTGGTGCGTACGCGACTTCTCCAGCTTAGTACATCAAGTCCAGTTAGTGTTCCTACAACTTAATCACTCCACCAGAGACACGGTCTACTTGAACGTCGTCTTCCGCCAACTACTGCTTCAACAGCTTTTTCGCTAAAGTATCTTCATCCATTCTCACGACATGACCGAGCCAGCGAAGCCGCTATATGTAAATTTGTAGAATTATATCAATATCGTGATAAAGCATGTATAGGTCGTGATTCATTCGTACGTGGTAGTCGCCCTCAACTCGTAGAGGACCAAATATCTTACGAACTGCTGTACTAGTTAATTTAAATTAATTTAAATCCTTCTCGGCGACGCTGCAATATTTCCTAACATACATACATTCGTATGTGCAATTATTTATACTTCACCATTATTTATTTGTCGTTAAATATTTGGGAGATAAAACCAAATAAATTAAAATTACGTTGAAGTCAGCTTGCATTCTGTACCAAGCAATGACGTTTTTTAAATGTGACGTTATTATTTTTAAGCATAAATAAAAACATTGAAATACGTTACATTGGCACAATTGGGGGTTGAATAATTGCAAGCGAAACGCACAAGCAACAGTCCACAACAACAACAACAACAACAACAACAAAAGACAAAAACAACAAAATGTATACAAACTTACAACTACAAAACAAACACAACAATAATTCATTCCTACAGAAAATTACACCGGCAAATCTGCTTTCAACCACATGTTTCAACCGTACGTTTCAACCACATTCAATTTCCTTCAATTTTCTGTGCGAAACACTGTCGTTTCACATTTTGGTTTCAGTTGCTTTTGAACTTCGGCGGGTAGAGGTTGCGTTGTTTTGTATAAGTCTTGTTTTTGTATTAAACATTTTGAACAAATATTAGTTATCAAAATATTTTTTGCAATAAAGATTAATAAAATTATTGTAAAGGTAAAATATTGTTTAGAAATTTGATAGAAAGTTTTGTTTGATAATTTCGACAAAATTGTGCGCGTCGTCTGGCTAAATATTTTCCCAAAATTTCTTATTTGCGCGCCTTCCTCTTTGTGGTGTTATTCTTATCTTTAAAAAAAAATTCCTAACGTAAATATACAATTACAATTGCCTTAAAAATATTATAAAAAAAGAATTATTCTACTTAAAGTGTATTATTTAAAAATGAAAATAAATTAATAAAAAAAATTATACTAAAGTATTGTTGTGTTATTCAATTTCGTTGGTGATGTCATAAACCTGGTAACATAGGTTAATGAAAGAGACAGAGCGGCACAAGCTTGTATGCGTAATAAGCGATCGGTTGAGCGATGATCACATGCAAAATTGTACAGCAATAAAAAACAAGTTTCCAATTTGAATAATAATAATAATAAAATAAAATAAATACAGTTTCAAGGCAAATAATAAGTTAGTGACGTCATGTGTAACAATTTTAAATAAACATAAATAAGTGCCGGTAAAAGAGAACAACCAATGAACTTGAAAATCGAAAGGGTTTTTTATTAGCGAAAAATAAAAAAATTAATTGACCAAAATTATAGAGGAACTCGTGTGTATGTGTAGAGTCAGTGAAATGTGCATATGTATATATTTTTAAATTAATAATTTTTATTGTATTTGGTAGATCATATATTTTTTAACTTTTTTGTGAAAAAAAAATTATATATTAATTATTAATAATTCAAAATTAAATAATAAAATAAATAAAATATGTAATTTAAAATTTTCACTTCGCGCTCCATTAAAAATACATGTAGCATTGTGTGCGTTTTGCAAACATTTTTTTGACAATAATATTAATTTTTATATTTATATAATAAATTAATTTCCCTAATCAAAGAATGTATCTCTGTATACAAACATATATGGTATATTTCAAAAGTTTACATTTAATAAATATGAGGATCCTAATGCTTTCCTGCAACATGTTTCGTTTTCTTCAGTAATGTAAAATTTTATTAACAAAAAAAAAACAATAATTATAAAATTTAAAATTTTGTTTATTGAAAACATTATTTCCAATTTTGTTTCATATATTTTTGAAAGAACCAAAAATATATGTATATTCGAAAGAACCCAAAATCTATTTTTGAAAGAACCCGAAATATATTTTTGAAATGACCAAAAATAATATTTGAAAGGGCCAAAACTATATTATAATATAAATAATAAAGATACATATGTATGATATATAAAAATATAACAAATATCTTTGTTTCTTTATAATTATTTAATCTAACTTCTATCATAATCTCAAGGTTTCTACATAGATTTACTTTATCAGGAACTACATAGGTTACATGTCATTGACATTATACTTTGTCAATAGAAAATTAATCTAGTTCCTTTCCTTTGTAGAAATATTATTAATAATTTGTCAAGAATTCAATGTTTTATACTTCTGATCCATAGTTTGATGGAAGGGTTGCTAGCTTACATGTGATGTTAACGGTATTGTCAACTTTTTTCTTGTAACATATTTTACTTTTACTGAGGCTATTTTCTGCCAGATATTGACACCATTTATTATCGTAAATTCGATCGCTATAGTCTCCATTATAAGACATGCTACATCACAAATGGAATAGATTGATATTCTGATTGGAGTGAATATGTGTGACACAACCAAATATATAAATTATATACGAAAAAAAATTTTTTAATCATTTTGTATTGACTAAACCTTCCTATTCGACTTCAGTTTCTAAGAAAAGTATGCTTATCTTCCATATATTCCTATATACTTATTTCTATACATAAGCTAAATTTATTTATTTAAACTTATGAAATATATAAAAGTATACAATAAGTATACAAAATATCAACGTTAAAACGTGTTATTGCGAATAAAAATCAACCTGTAAAATAGGTCTTATCAAAATTGTAGAAACATAAAAGTTCACTGATAAGATAACGTACTAAAAAATTAAACAGAAATCAATAATTATTTTACGAAAATTGAACGATGACAAAGAGTCATCAATTGATAATAATAAAAAAAATTTCAACTATTTTCATTCCTCTACTATATTTGAAGAGACGAAATTTTTCGCAGTGTTCTAAAATATTTTAAAAAAGTTTATATTAAATTGTAACATGTGTTTTGCATAAAAACGTTAAAAGTTAACATTATTTACCCATATAATCAAGTATATTTGTGCCATTGTAAAAGCCGGTAATTTGCATGTCTAACCATTCACCCTCATTTCAGAAATCCAAAAGTAGAACGTCAATACTAAAAACCGGTCAGCTAACAAACGACATTACTGCGTTATTTTATATACAACACAGATAATAATAATAGCACAGGTGAGTGAATAATGACTAAAATAGAAAGTTAAAATATTTTTATACAAACAACTTCATTGTAATATGAAAAAATCAATTATATATGTGATTCATTTCACTCCCAAAATGTCAACTTGATTTATATATAACACTACTTTAAATGGAATTCGGTCCACTTGACACTTGGTCGATTTTAAATGTTTCGTTAGTATATTTGATTTTCTCTATTTTTCATAGATTAATTTAAAAAAAAAATTATATTTTGCTAAAAAATTTTAGTGATACTTCATTTTCACAATATTTACAATAGTCTACTTACTGGAAAAGACAGTGATCTTTTAAAGCATATGTATTATAAACTCTGTCTTTATCTAATTTGAGTTACAGAAAAATTGCTACATTGCGAAAATACCAAAAATTGATTTCAAAATATTTATCACAATATGTAATCACTGCAGTGATATATACTTGAGGAGACGCTAAAATGTACTCATGAAAAAAACATGTCTCCAACCACAGTATTAAAAATTTTCTTGACAAGTTTTTATGAGAGCAATTAATTAACTCAAATGATGATACCCATTTTTTCATGAAAATGATCATCATTTAGCATATTTTATCAAAGATGAAATGTAACATAGCGCTCCACACATCCGGAGCGAAACAGACCATCTTTAATCGACTACAGTTATTAATTCTCCAGTAACTCACGAGAAAACTGCCTATCTTTAACATATATATCAGACCTCTATTTTCAGGACAACCGCTAGATTTTGTTTAAAAACCGTATTACCTTGAAATACCTACATAATACGAATAAATTTCCTTTCCGTTACTTATTTAGTATTAAAGTTTTGTTTACAAACTTTTATATTTAGTTTAATTGAGCAACAATCCAAAAGTAGACATGGTTTATTGTTTGGCATCATTTACTCAGGTGGCCATCTAGACACCATACCTAATTCAGGAAAAAGTGTCTGTTACTCACTTCATTTAATTTATTATGTTTCTTAAATACACAGAAGCATTTACCATAATAAATTTCACTTATTGCAGTAATTGTGATAAACGTAACAGAATTGTTACTGCAGTCAAATCACACTTCTAAATTTATTCTAATTGTAACTCAGGGTTGCATTTGAATTTTGCATTGAATATATGCACTGAGATTATTCAGTAAACCGACTTGGTTCGAATAAAACATAATTAATTTGGACCTAACGTTATTGTTTTTGTTCGGACCTAATTAGCTTATATTAGACCTAATTAGTGTGTGTTTATGAAAGTGAAAAAAATTAAACTATATGTTTTGTAAAATAGTTTAGTATAATAAAAAGAAAGGAAATTATGTTTCGTATAATAGTTTAGCGTAATAAAAAGAAAGGGCTTGAGCAAGTTTATAAATATTGATATGTTCATACGCATTATGTTAGAATAAATAAATGGTAATTTGTATGTACTATAATAGTCTGCCAGTAAAAGTTTAATATCGAACGTTACCTATAGCTAATACTGATTTTTATGAATTCTTCGTTTATTCTGTAGTTTAGTCACATAATAGTACTAGTCTTTACTTAACAATACTCAGAAAGAAAAACTGTTACTCAGAAAAATAAACCGAGTATGTTAAACATAATCATGCGATATTTATCTAACATAATATCTCTTAAAATATTATATATTGACACTTTTATTTTGCTGACTTATCTTCTTAACAAAATATTGTGGCAGCAGCACTAAATGATGTTAATATTATAATCTAGAATATATTAGTAATCAAAAAATGAATAATACAGTGAGGTTGAGTGAGTAATTTTCAATGTAATGGGTTGTTGTAATCTAAGTAATAATTCAGTACTATCGACGCTTGGTCAGATAGCAATTTAATGAAGTTTTCAATGTTCAGTTAAATGATATCTATAATTTGCGGTTTGTTTGGTTTCTATTTTGCTTACTTATATTACGGAAATTTTGAAAAAATAAAAAAACTATAACATTTAAATCTAAAGTCACTTGCCTTCAATTGCTTCATTTGAATGGCCTTCCAAAACCTTTGTATCCATTGGCATTGTCGCGGATAATTGCTTCAGTAATTGTAAGCAAAGTCGCTTATTTTTTGTAGCGAACTCATAGTAAATAATATGTACTGTTAAACTTAATTTAAATAAACGCAAACTTATTGAATCTGTGAATAAAAATACAACACAAAAATTGAATTTAAATTCTCACAAAAGTTAATAAAAAAAATTTAGCACGAATCGTGGATACACGCAAAAACTCTCTCTTATAATATATCTATATATGTGTATATATAAGAAAATAAACAAATATATTTTCAAATATTTTCAAATTTAATTAATTTTAAATAATAAAATTATATTTATTTTATACACCAACCCCTTATTTTTTTAAATTAATTCAAACTGCTTATATATATTTAAGTAATTTATGTTTCCTTAATTTATATGTATATCTGTATATGCATATGCATATATAGTGAATAATGAGTTCACTGCCATTTTCAAAAACCTTTTAGTTTTATATTTTTTGTTTTAAAACTTGATTGTTCCAATTTAAATAATAAAATAATAAACAAATTACGTCATCTGAAATTAAATCGATCTGTTTTTTAATAAAAGGTTTAAGCTTTGTTTACAACTACGTGTTTATTTAAAATAAGCAATGATTCATAAATAAGTACTTTGTACGATAAACGCTATGAGATTAAAATTTAATTATGAAAATAAACGTTTTATATGAAATTAATTTTATTAACAAATACCATAGTAGAGGCAATAATGTCTCAGCTAAATTATCATTAATATTTTTAAAACATTTTACAGCAGTTGATTAAAATTTTTTTCAACAACGACAATTATTTCTAGTCACGTTGAAATAATCCGCTTTACAAAAGATTTTAATTTTTAAATCTTCTAATAAGCAATTATAAATATTCCATATGACTTCAATGTTATTGCTTTTTTAAAAATTGTTTATCGTTTAGTTTAGAAAAAGCATTAATGCCCTTCATACTATCAGATTTTCTTCTTACTGAATCTTACTGAATATATATATATATGATAGTTTATTTTTAAGAGTTTGCTTGTGAGTAAAATATATCATTTCATAAACGAACTATATTCATTTGTTGCATATATCTTTCAAGCTTTACAATAAATCCCTGAATATTATTCCATTCAATTATCTCAAAAATTGGAACAGAATAGTAGTTTGTTTTTAACCGATAGAAGGACATTACTAAAACAGTTTGCCTTGTCGTACTGATCAACAATATGTAAATAAATATTTCATAAAGTATCCAATACCCATTTTTACTGGATTGCACATTCAAACAGCATAGTCTAAAGATCTAAAGATATATAAAAACTGAAGTTTCGGAATGTTTTTTGTTTCATGTTTTGTATTAGATTTAGTGTAAAAGTGAATCTCTAATCAAATAAGGGACGCGTTTTAAAATGTCTTAGCTCCTAATGATTTATATAGTTCTATGTAATGAGAATTTCTGTGATACATATATTTCTGTTTGGAGAATAAAAAGGAATAATAGATATTCCTGGAAAATAATGTGATGCTTTCATCATCAGTTGCTGGTAGTTCTCTAGGTTTTCGAAAAAGGATTTCCGAAAATAATAATTATGCTCCTTGCTAAAAGTATGCATCTGTGTCATAGATGAAATCGTGATACTGTATTATAGATGATTACCAATTCAAAATAACAAAATATTATAATGGTCAACTAATGTATACAGCGACTTTCAGGTAGATTGAGCATTATAATACTCATATATATATGATATATATGATAAAAATATATTTGTATAATTTATTTACCAGATTCAATAAGATGAATTTTATGTTGATTTTTGGATTTTTGCAGATTAAAAACAAAAAATTGTTGGCATATATAGTTCTAAATTGACCTATAAAAATTTTATTTTAAAAAATAAGCAATATTCAACTGCCCATCTATTTATAACGGAATTAGACTAAAGTGGAACTAATGGAACTAAAGTGGGTTTGTCGCAATTATCCTCAAAGGATGCAGTGACGTTTAAAATCTAATTTAATATTATTATATATTCTTTTTGAAACCCATTAAATTAGATATTAATCTTAGCATGCATTTATTTCTGTTAAAACCTAACTCTATAAAGATGATTTAAAGTAAAGTAAATTACTAAAGTAAATTATAAGTAAAGTAAATTATTTTGAAATTTTTTAAATAAGTTATTTTAATATCAAATGATATACATGCAATTTTGATAGTTTTAGCTTATATATAAAATTGCTATGTATAATATAAGAATTTCATTAATAACATCTATATATAACTTAAAATTACACGCTATGATCATTTCCGCTTCTTTCAAAATAACAGATATATGTGAATACCTATATCTGCGTAATGTATCACTTCCCACGCGTTAAATGCCATAAAAATACATAATTTTAAAGTTAAGTAATGATTCAGGAAGAATATTTTTTTTTTTTTTAAATAATCGATGCCACCCACCCATAAGTTTAATTATCATTTAGTATAATTTTATTTATTAAAATTTTCTTTCCCAGAACTGTACTTATCGCAAATATTAAAGAAATAAGTAAAAGTAAAAAAAAACAATTTGCAATTAATTAAAAAAAAATCGCTGAAAAATTTGATCTCCAAACAGAGGCCGACCATCAAAGACCTTTCACAATTTTTTAATTAATACAAAATTGCGATGATATTCGGATGTATCTTTACTTTTCTTCTTCTGCAATATTTTTTTCTCATAGATGTACATTTGTCTTTTTCATAGCAAAAAATCAAGAAATTTATTTTACCTCTTTTATTTATTTTTTCTTTCAATTTTTTTTTGTTTTAAAATTTAAAAAATGAAAAATATAAAGTATTGGACAAGTAATCATAATACTTTTTCAATTTTATACAAAAATTTATGTATCTCTCAGATGAGTTGAAAACTTAAGTAAAATTAAAATTGCACGCGTTTTTGTTTTAT